TGAAACGACAGATCAAACATATGATAAAATACAAGTAAATATCATTTACTTTTGTGATCAAATTTACTATGCGATTTTATTTTTCTAATTCTATTCGAATTTCAAAGTAAACTTTCACTTTATAATTGATTTTCATTTAGTGCATATTCAATAAAACTATTAAACCCAACATATATCGCTTTTATTCAAATATCCTGCCTAATCGTTAAATCACTAAATTTTCTTAATGTAAATAACGAAGTTTAATAATTTATAACTTTAACAAATTTGATTGGTTTTTGACACTATTGACTAAAGATAGACATATCTTAAATGAAACCCAAGCTATGTAGTAACACTATTTATATCCCATATGTATTTTATATTCTGATTTTTCTCGTGAAGTTAGGGCATCTGTGCCTGACCAATTCGCCGAACTAGTGCGTTTACGGAATTTATATTCGTATCCTTTAAAAATTGCTATAAAAAATAAACAAATAAATAAATTAATTAACATGAAGAAAAAGTGCATCCTATATAGCACAAAACTTTGAGACAATACGAACCACTCATGTCCAACGGTTGTATGCTGCCAAAAATAGTCTCTGGGTCAATGGAAGCTTGACGTATTAAAGCAACCTTTATATTATGAGGTTGACACCAGCTTGGACGCATATTTTTATATTTCTCTATATCTTCAGAACTATCATCTTCACTGCTGTCTTCGCTATGTAAAATTAAATCTCCATCTTTCTTTTTTTTTATCTCGAAAGTTTTTTGCAAAACTTGTTTTTTTTTAAGTCCCTCTTCCTCCTAATAAAAAAAAAAAATTATTGATGAAAACACGAGCAATAATCTCACAATTAAGATTAATTATACTTTTTATCTCACCTTTTTTTTTGAGTCAGGAATAAAGTTTGCTTTTCTTTTCCATTCTTCTTCACGTTGTTTGGCAATTTGTAAACGTTTTTGTTGCTCCTCTTGTCTACGTTGTGAAGCGGCCAAACGTTTCGTTTCCCATTCTTTTGCAGCAGTTTTTTTTTCGTGTTTCTCTTGTTCCTATCATTTAATAGATCAGTATTCTGAAAAATAACAAGAGTTTATTCAATATACATACTTTTTTTATAGCAGCGGCTCGCACCAACGATTTAATCTCTGGTTTTGTTTTCACGAGGCGTTTAGCAATCGTCTTTTGTGAATTTTGCGGAATATTCGAATCATTTGGACGTGTAATTTCGATCTTTTTTGAACGAGCAATAATGTCACGTAAATAATTCTTTAGCCAGTCAACTTCCTGTTGACATGCTATCGAAAAATCTCGAAAATTCTCTTCAGTAAAAGATTCAAATTTTCGCCGCTCATTTTCGAGCCAACTTTGGCTTTCTGAAATCATCTAGTAAATTGTGAAGTAGGTTGAACGCGTTTTGCTTACACTTATTTCTGCGAGTGATACAAACCAAAAAAGGAAAATTTCATATGTAGATCATAACTGATAAGATCAAAATTTTTGTATGTAAAACCACCTGTGCTCGCAGAATTCGGTGCAGTGCAGATTTCTGGATACCTTAAAGTGAAATTAAAGCACGAGCGTGTTTCTTAGAAAAGCTGAGAGCTAAGATCAGTTTTTTAAAGCTTGATAGTAGAATTTATGGCATAATTTTAAAAAATCGCATGAATAGACTTGTGAAACAGGCAGAATTTGACAGCAGAAAACCGGTCTAAGAAGGATTTTGCCAATATTCCATTGTTCATGCGCATTACAAATACTAAATACTAATATAGTGTAGTGATAGCTCGATGACAATCTGTGTGCATATAAATCGGGTGTAAGGGATACATATCACTCGTTGCACACACCCTTGTGCACGTTTCGTCAGGTTCGTACCACACAGACGGCTCGATCCACCAACGTTCATCGGTATCGTTATTTTTTTTGTTTATATTATTCTTATTGTCCAACTCCGTTTCTTTTGCAACAGGCTCAAAAATAATTATTGTTTACCTAGTTTTAATCCTATAATAAAATTTCCTTTTATTAATGATTTTTTTTGTGTAATATTTCATAACGCATATAGCTCTTGGAAATTTAAAATTCGTGAGAACAATTTATACTTTTTATAATGCTTATATATTAAAATATGAGGCGTTCACAAATTTAATAGAGCAGGCTTAAAGCTACCAATTATAAAATCTCGGCGGATTGTAAATTGGTTTATTTTCGATAAGCGGCATCCAGGCTTTTCTCTTTACTTTAAACGTTTTCGCTGTACGTTTGTTACCGATACCTAAATCCATTTCGGGTTTCTTCACTTTTAAAATATATTTCATATGCGCTTTCTTTATCTTCAAAAAACTGAATCTGCCACGAGCACCATAATTAGGTTTTTTTCTATACAAGCCTTTACCTACGAATGCCTGATCTTAAGTCGATAAAATTATAAAACATATAAATTATGGTTAATTATGGTTCATTTATCATGGTTAAATAGTCGGATCAACATTATATACCAATAAAAACGTTATCAGCATCCATCATTTTATATCTCCAAGCATGATCTCGAGCAGTTATCAAAGAATTCATAATCTTTCTTGATGCTCTCTTATGCGAGAATTCCATTTGTTTGATAGCCTCATTAATAGGTTTACCAGCAATTTGATTTGCTAAAAATCTGAGTTTGCGTGGCGAAATACGGAAATTCATGGTTGAATATCGATGCTATATATGAAAATATATTAATTATCTAGATCTAAAATCAATATGCCAATAGACACATTAAAACGAAGTAATACCTCAGTGGATTTTTTCTTCGCCTCAGTATATTTTGGATCATCTTTATTAATCACTTTGTGTTCAACAATTGACCCTTTATTCTGTTCTTGTTTTTCAAATTTTTCATAATCAAATATCGGTGATGGTCCATAAGTAGGTTGGGATGTCCTCAATTCATGAATTTTTTTCTTTTCTTTTTTCTTTTTACGTTGAAATGGCCATATTTTAGGCAATGATGGAAGCCATCTTGCTGAATTGATATGTGTACCGTGCAAAGACCTAATAAAAATATCATTTATCTCAATTGCAATTGGAGGAACAAATATTTATAATATCTTATTATAATACCTTGCAACAAAATTGCGAGGTAAATTTGGTTGGCAAAAATTTTGTCTTATCAAAACCGTTACTAAAATAAAAAACCCCAAAACATCATTGATTATGTCCAATTTTAAAATTTCGTTTAAAGGTTTCCAACGAATTACCAAGTGGTAATATTTTACTTCGTGAAGTCGCATTCATCGTTCTCGAAAATTTTGTATAAAATTTCAAAATTAGAAGATTGATACACAACCGCTTGGTCACACTACATTTGTTGTGGCGCTAGACTTTTTTTGATCGCATATGCTTATATGTACAAATAAATGCGTGCAACATAGTAATACTTTATAATTAGAAATGTTCCATTTTACGTCATCAATAAACTAGTACAAATCTTTAGCCCTTGCATTCCGAGTTGAAACTTAGTGTTGGCTGAATATTCAAGTTGTACTCGAATGAAAATGAAATTGTAACCAATTGTTGGAAAATCCGGCCATACATGGAACAAATCATCTACAATTCTGCAATTATCTATGCTACTTTGCATTTTGTCACCTGATAGCTCGCTTCCCTTAAAGGAATTCCTCCAAAACAAAATTTCTCTTAAAAGTATATTGGTACCCGGCATAAATTGGTTTTTTTAAAAAATTTATTTTTAAAATTTATAGAGAGCCCATACGCGACGACGAATGGGAAATTAATAAGTTCAATATAATAAGTTTGTAATAATTTAGATTTTTTGGGGCAACAATGACCGAAGTTGTAGATAAGGTTTTGGCCACGTTAAAAGGAAACAGTATGTGTCCTTTTTTTTCTTTGCTCGTAATATATTCAAAGAAAGCTTACTAACAATGTTCTTTATTTCGATCTTCATTTTTTTTTCCCACCAATTTACACAAAATTATTCAAGATCTGGATAAAAAGATTGAAGCATTAGCAAAATTAGAGGAAGAATTAATTGAAGAAACACCACTCGAGGTTAGTGCTATACGCGTATTTAAAATATAATAAAAACGATCTGACAGGCTTGAATTATCCAATTTCTCTATTTAAATTTAATCAATGCCGATGCGAATGAAGTAATGTGATGAAATGCTATATTCTCCTTTTTTCTAAATATTTAATAATGATGAAAATCAGTACAAAAATTTTATAAAATTATACTAATCCTTTACAATTCTATTTTATTCATAACTAGCCACAAGAAATAACTCAACTTGTACCAACTCTCAGAGATGCTTTGAAGGGTTCACAGATGTCATTGTCCTATGCATCACTTACTTGCTTAAATCCCTTCGTTTCTTTAATAGCCGAAACACATCCTTCTCAACTTAAAAATGTCACTGTGGCTTTTGCTCCATCTGTAATCGATAAACTAGGAGATACAAAGGACAAAACGAGAGAACATGCGCTTCAAGTATTGTTAACTATGTATGAATCAGCGACAAATATGACCGGTGGAACGAATATTATAATCGCATTATCTACAATTATAAAAGATACAGCATTTGGTCATAAACAATGGAGAATTCGTGAACAGGTGGATAAATTTGTACTGAAATGAATATGAATAAAAGTTATATTTATCGAGTTACTTATTAATTTGAGATAAATAATTCATATACTCATAGATTTTACAATGGATTGCTGCATGCTCAAAAAAAATAACGGATTTTCCTATAAGACAATGGGTACCATACATGGTTAAGCTGCTTGAAGATCCACACGAACAAGTGAGGGAAACGGCAAAAGATACTATAATATTACTCTTCAAGTAAGAAAAAAAAAAAACTTTATTTTTGAACTATTTATTATAAAAGGTATGCTATATGCTATTCATTTTACACACATTTACTTCAATTTATTAGTGGCGCTGCATCACACGCTAAATCAGACTTAAAGCGTGAACTTAAAGAACAGTCAATTCGTCCTGGCATAGTTGATTATATTCTTTCAAAAATTGTGTCCAGCCCGTCAGGTGATGGGCATAGTGATCGTAATAGCGTAGTATATGATAATACTGATAATCATACAGATGCTGGCACTGAAATAACGGAAGAAGATTATTTCAGTAGTGGCACAGGGAACGAAGAAATTGCAAGATCTACAGAATCAATAGTTAGGCCTACTAGCTCTGCAGATAGTGAAATTGGTGTAATAAATGTAAGTAATACTAATTAGACTTCTCAATAAATGATTCGTGAATTAAGTGAATCAGTCATATTTTATATTAGGTTGACAGCGCAAGAGAACTAGAAAGAGAATTCCAAAATTTATTGTCTTCTTTCCAAGGGAGGGAGTCAGAACAAAATTGGTTGTCTCGCGAGCGTGGTATAAATCGATTACGTTCATTGACTAGAGGAGATGCCTTTACAAATTATCAAGAACAATTTATTAATGGTTTAAAATCATTGATGGATGGCATATTGAAATCGGTAAGCTAAATTTCGATAGAACGCATGCCGTTTTTTTTTTTTCATTTAAATTAAATAACATAATTTAAACATTGCTTTCATAATTAAACAGCTTTCTAGTCTGCGTACAACACTTACCTTAGCAAGTGCTGGCCTTATCAGAGATTTAGCAACACATTTAGGATCTGCTATCGATCATTTTGCAGAAAATTTACTAGCTAACCTCATCAAAATGACTTCTTCAGCTAAAAAAATTGTTGGCCAGGCCGCTGCTAATTCAGCAAACGCACTATTAAAACATGCATCATATCATACTCGCCTTGTCACTCAAATTTGGCACGCGATGGAAGAAAAAAATACGCAGATTCGGCATTTCGCTATGGGATTTGTAAAAACTGTAATTCAATTTCATAGTGATCGAAAAGATGTGATGGAACGAACTGGAGGAGCAGAATCATTAGAAAAATGTGTAAAAAAAGGCCTGACTGATGCAAATTCTAAAGTGAGAGAAGCATGCCGGGACGTGTTTTGGACGTTTTATGAGGTCTGGCCAGAAAGAGGAGAAAAGTATGTCAATTTCTTACGACCTTTTACGTTAAAGTTTGAGCGCACAAAAAAAAATAAAAAAAAAACAAACAAAAAAAAAAAAAAAAACTTAATTTGGCTAAAACATCTTTAGGATTATGAAAAATTTGGAACCAGCTGTGAAAAAACAATTGGAACGTGATCGACCAAAAACTCTAGTAGTATCATCACCACTGACGACGACACCTCCAAGAAATCGTCCAACAACACCTGCTCCCCCTTCACAACGTGCCCGGTCATCGAGCGTAGGTAAATCAAAAGGACCTCCATCCACAGGATACATTATAGAAGATAATTATTCATTGCATTCTGAATCACCCTCGAAAAGTGTTAAAGAACCATCGAAACTTACGCCTCATAATCTTAATCAATCACGTGCTAAATCACCAGCACCTTCAGCCATGGCGAGAACCAAATCTACAGCAAGCAATTCTAGTAACTCCAGTAACTTATTGAGCCCAAAGCTAACACCAGCAAAACGTGGTTCATCGAACCAAGTACCTTCTACTCCAAAAACTCCAAAAACGCCACCTACTCCAAAAACGCCACCTACTCCAAAAACTCCACGCAAGCTGACGATTATTGAACAATTAGAGCATAGCGAGTGGTCGACACGTATTGAAGGCTTACTAATTATAGCACAATTAATAGTAAAGCGATCGTTGGAGCCATCATCTGGGAAAAAAAAATCAGAACTTCCACCTGATGAAGAGTTAAGTCCAGTTTTGATCAATTTCTTGAACGAACCAGATCCTAGAGTAATTGAAAAATTTATGGATCCAAGTATCTTTGTTGAACTAGCAAAAGTTATACAACTAGAACATTTTATACCAAACCTTATTTTAAGCGCTAGCGATGAAAGCAAACCAGAACAATCTCAAATAATTCAATCTCATTTACCTGGGTTGAAATCAGGAATTGGTAATAATAAAGCACTAGCATCTCTTAATAAATGTCTACTACTATTAAGTGGTTCCGGAACTACACAAAAAAAACTTGCTTCTGGATTTAGTCAGCCTCAAAAGCGTAAGATTATTAATGGAATTTTTATTTGGTTAAACGAGATTCTTGTGCCTAAATTGGAAGAAGTTGAAAGCAGCGGGGCCCTGAATGGTTATCTGGGTGATGCAGAAAAATATAAACTCCTTGCAAACCGCCTTATTCCTATGGTATCCACTGTAAAAGATACTTCTGAAAATTATAAACCGCTTAGTGATTTATTAATTAATATGCACAAATTAAATCCAGACCTTTTTGAGACAGTTTTGTTCACTTTTGATAATAAAATTATTGATGCTGTTGGCAATGTGGTCGGATGGGAAGAAGAGTTGGAGGAGGCTGTGGAAGAAGCTACGGAAGAGGAAAAAGAAAGGTTATTAGAAGAACAACGAAGGCAAGAAGAAGAACAAAAAAAGATTTTAGAACAAGAAGAATTGCAGAAACGCATGTATGAAGAGCAAATGATTCAGCAACAACAATTACAGTTACGACAACTGCAACAACAAAAACAAGAACAACTTGAAAAACAAAAGCGTGAACGTGAGCTCAAGCAACAACGCGAACGTGAACGCGAGTTAGAATTACAGAAACAACGAGAAATTGAGCTACAACGTGAACGTGAGCGTGAATTGGAGTTACAAAAACAACGTGAAGCTGAACAGCGTGAACGTGAAATTAGACAGCAACGTGAACGTGAACGAGAATTGGAGTTGCGAGAACGACGAGAAATTGAAAAACGTGAGCGTGAATTGGAGTTACAAAAACAACGTGAAGCTGAACAGCGTGAACGTGAAATTAGACAACAACGTGAACGTGAACGAGAATTGGAGTTGCGAGAACGACGAGAAATTGAAAAACGTGAACGCGAAAGGGAACAACGAGAATATGAACGAAAATTACAAGAACAATACCAAAGAGAACAACTTGAACAACTCGAACGACAAAAACGTGAAAATGAGCTTAAATTGCGTGAACAATTGGAGAAACGTGAGCGCGAACGAGAACTTGAATTGCTAAAACAAGAACGTGAATATGAAATGCAACAACAGCAACGTGAATATGAATTGCAACAACAGCGTGAATATGAATTGCAACAACAGCAACGTGAATATGAATTGCAACAACAGCGTGAATACGAAATGCAACAACAGCAACGTGAATATGAAATGCAACAACGTGAATATGAGATGCAACGTGAATATGAAATGCAGCAACGTGAATATGAAATGCAGCAACAACGTGAATATAATATGGGAATGGAAAAACAAAGACCTCCGCAATTAAGTCTAAATTCTCAAAAGGCACCATTACGACCATCATTATCACGTCAAAACTCGTACTCATCAAATATTAATGATTGGGTAGAGAATCAAAGATCACCGCTTATACAAGCAGATTCTCCTAGAAGCTCAAAAGATGCTTCAGAAGAAGAGTGGATGAGAAGGAATAGACCTACTACGGCCGAACCTCAATTACTTGACCCTCGCAGGGAATATGATAGGCAAAGAAGATCAAAAACGCCAACTCGTGGCGGAGAATATGATAGACGGAGGGACAATGGTAATTGGGAGGACAAACGTATTTCACGAAGTTATGATATGCATGATGGCAGAGATAGTCGGTACGAGATCAATGATAGAAACAGAAGAAGAGATTTAGAGTGGAATGATAGAGATAGAGGACGGCATTATGTCAAAGATAATGGTATGAACGATATGTGGAGCAGAGATAGCGTGTCCACAGACAAAGAGCATTTAAGTGAGGGACATGAGGAAGATTTTGAAAGTGTCAGCGAATTTGAGCTTAGTCAAATGGATAATAAAGAAAAAAGGTCTATGAATAAACCAGTTGGACGTGTAGTTTCACTTCCACCACCGCCACAGAACTTTGGAGTTACTGACTTTGAATATCGAGAATCTGACATGGCTAATTTAAAAGAAATTGTAGAAAAATTGGACATGGAAGAGAATGGAGTAAGTTTCATTAATATAATAATCATTAAGTGGTGCATTATACAAATTAATTAATATTAATTATATTTTTAAAGGAGAGCGCAACAGAAAACTTTGGCGATGCGGCACTAAGCCGACCAGCAAGCATTTTTATTTCGGAAGATACATTGAAACATCTTTCTAATACTTTAACTGGCGGCAACGTTAATCCGTTCTACTTGAACCCAGATGAAAGATTTAACAATGGAGATGAACAAACATTAACCACTATACAAGAAGTTGAAACTTCAGAGTTTTCAGAGATGGAGAAAACTCTGTCCCGAAACAATCCAATAATAAATAACAATGGTGTATTATCACATTCAGAGCAGATACCGGAAAATTTACAAGCTTTTCCAACAAACGCTGAAAAGGTTAACGAATCCATTAATTCTCAGCCAACTGAAGAAATAAATGGAACACATTCTACAGAGCAACAAACACAATCCCCGACATCCCCAGTAAGAAAAGAAGGTGCATTACCAGGTGCTCGCGAAAGGGCTCTAAAACGTAGTGAATGTACGTGTCAATTTTTGAGACAGATTTTAAGCATATTTTTAACACAATTTATTGCCTTTAGTCATGCAAGCAGGACCACCGCTTCCGGCTTCTGTTCAGGAAAGACGACTGTTACTCGTTACTCACTTAGCACGCCTTAATAACCATGATGTAGACATAAGTCTTTTCCGTAAACTGGCTCGATTATCTAAAGAAACACCATTGTCAGATAGGAAAACAACATCAGACATTTGGGAAAATGGAGATAGGTTTTCTGAATTATTAACAGCATTAATAGGATTCCTGAGCGATTTCGATGAGGTTTACTTTAATTTTATAATCCATCAGTTTCCGAAAAATATATATATATATATTCATTTTCTTATCTTCTTTAATAGGCTGCAGAATTAAGGGAAAATGCAGTTATGCTACTTGGCCAATTACTTACTAACCAGCCGGATTACGTTAGGGGTTCTGAAGGAATAGTTTTACGAATTTTATTAGAGTGTAGCTCTGATCCATCAGTAAACGTAAATTGATTTCTTTATCATCTTTCTCATTGCTGAAATAAATTTTCTGACATAAATCGTATTTTTGTAGGTTTGCGGTCAAGCGGAAGAGATTTTAGAGAACTTTGCTCAAAATGTTGATTGCAAAGTTGGCTTATATGCCTTGATTGACATTATGGAATCAACCTTATTAGGTAATTCTTTGGGTGTGAGTTCTCCTAGTGGTGATAATATGTCTTCTAGTTCGCGGGCAACTATGAAAAAATACGCTTTTACGGCATTATCTCTACTTGTTAAAAGGTTTGACAAAAAGTCTTTGGAAAGACTAATTGGTATAATTGTTCCATTAACAATTAAGGTTGGTTTTGTTAAATTATGAGATAGGATTTATTTAATTATTATTATGTTGGCCCAAATTATTTTAATTTGTTAATTAATCAAAATATGCTTTTATCCTAGGGATTTAATGATCAAAAATCAGAGATTCGCAAAGCTGTTGTCGATACACTTGTTGTAGTATATTCAGTTCTCGGAGATGACAATACCTTATTCCAATACCTCGGTAGCCTAAATCCTTCACAAAAAAGTCTTCTTAGTTATTATTTTGACAAAAGCAATAAAAAAAAAACTGTATCTGCTTAACCAATCGTATAATAGTTTAAAATTTGATATTCAGTAAATTTTCTAATTCATATAGTTTATTATTTTTTTACGAATATGAATATATAAAATTCTATTGTATGTTATTCATTATTTAAAATCATAGGCCTGGGGTTATTCCCCAGCATGATTTGAATATATATATGTTTACATAAATGACTATTACCATTTTTTCAATGTAATTCATTTTTGTATTGTAATCATATGAAACTAAAAAATAATTACTAGTCATTTAGAAATGACAAACTTTTTTAATGATGTATATTATAACTTATTATATAAATAGGCTTGCAAATAAAAATAAATAAGATTTATAGATCACTGATTACATTACTAATTTAATTCGAAATCAGAAACCTGAACTTTAGGTCTGAAACCCCCTATTATGTGAGTTATATACATTAAATAAATGATTATGATCTTAAACTATGTATTTAAAACTTTATTGAAATTATACTGTATATATATTGATTAGGATGTCCAGAGTTATGCAATAGCAGAAATTTGCAGTTGAAATGAATTTTATTATTTTTAATAAATTATAATTCATTTTAAACTATTATAAATTTGTATATTAGGACTTTTTAAAGACCTAAGGACCCTAGGTCCTTAAATTTGGACTTGGTCTTTAAAGACCAGGTTTAAAGACCAGGTCCTAAAGTCCCGGACCTAAGGACTTTTACCAATCCTAATCTCAAATGCGTGATGGATACATCATCTTTAATTTCAAAGAATAAAAAAACAAATGAGTTAAAGCTCTTCTCTTGGAATATAATAAAGACAATAAAATTTATGCTTACAATTCGAACACTCGCACCAAAACACTTTGGGGGAAGATTCTTTCTGAATTTGGCTTTCACGACACCACCATTACCGTGAGGCCTAAATATCAAGTGCTCCGCATAATTAATAATATGAATGCAAATAAATGATAATTAAACTAACGATAACAAATACCTAGCTACATGACCCCAAATGACGCGAATTTTACTTCCGTTTTTCTACATGTACCATTATAGTTGAAATAATGATGTAATAATTATGATTTAAAATTAATTTATTTCAAATACCTCACGCTTGGCACGATATACATAGGCTACATGCTTTCCCAGATAGTATTGTGTATCTTCTTTAGCCGAAACACCTTCAATTTTGATTAATGTTGTATTTGGTGATTGATTGCTTTTTGAACGTTTGAATCCGAGAACGCGACCTTTAGAGTAAAGACTTGTAAATTATAGAAGCAACAACGAAAAATAAGAATAATCAACACTTCTGGATTTGTTAATTTCGATATTTTGTTAAATGCGTCAAAAGTATCTTAAGCATTGATACTCACCGAACTGGTTGACCCATTGCGAAATTATGGATATATAAAAATATAAAAAGAAAATTATAATTTTTTTTTTTTTTAAATTAAAATCTGATAATCAGCAGTCACGGGAATTTTACTAGTGATACGGTAGAGTATCAGGATGAAATCATAAATAAATTATTAGTGTTCATAAAAAATTTTCAATGTTCTCCTAAAAGGGTTGAATTAATTAAATTAAAAACCCAACTCTAAGACTCTTTGCACCAGCTAATTACTGTATTGTAGCATTATTTAATTTTTAAAATAATTGAATTACAAGTCTATAGATATCCGATTTTGCTCGAGTTTGGCTTGGGTTCGACTCTAAACTCAACCCAAATGACCTTTCAGAGCACTAGTTTATTAGATTGAATATTTTTTTGGAACATTTTAAAGTAATAAAATGGTCTCAAATAAGAGAACCTTATTTTAAATATTATTGTTCCTTAAAAAAATTGTATGTTCTTGAGAACCGTGAGAACATTGAATTTTAAACACTGTAGGTACCCAAGTATTTCGCCAAATCCGAATCCGGTCGATACTAGTTTCACCCAGCATACAAATTTCCGCTTCGTTGCTCAGTTTCAACTACTGTTAAACTTCCCAAAACCGATATACATGGTTGACAGATTTTGTATCAGTACTGCAGATTTGATAACATTATAAATGATTAGATTCATACTGTTAAACTGATCCTGTAAATCTAATAAAAAATTAATCCGCCACGTCTGATAACTTATAATGTTTTCAAATCTGATAACTCACAATACCAACAAAATCTGTTCACCATGCATATCGGTTTTGGGGTTTAACAGCATTCAAATTCGTGAATATTTCATTAAAGATCGCTAATTTATCAGTGCACTTAGAATATGTATAAATAAGGCCGTTTGAAGTTGAAACTTCGTTTAATGTTATCCCTCCTCCATCTCCTGGGCTTCAAAAAATTAAACAAATAGAAATGAAAGTTTGATCGATATGATAGCCAGCATAGCAGCCGGGGATTTTTCGGCTTACGTCCGGGATTCTCAGTACACTATGTTTAATTTTTATGTTTAATTTTCACCCCTCCCCCTCTGTAAATATGAAAAAAAAATAACGTTAAACGAAGTTTCAATTGCAATCGGTCTAATTAGGATCCATTAAAGAATTAAACTTGCCAAAACCGATATGCGTGGCTGTGAAAAATCTAATAAATTTTCCATAGACGGCTAACTGTATACTAGTGATACAAATCGGACCAAATGGTGTCACTGGAACTTCACTACGTATCAACTGATAACTAGTCGATTAATCGTCGACAATCGATTAGTTGTCTAATAAATTATCAATCGATTATTTGCCAATTCATCGATTAATCGATTTTCGATTTGGAACACTATTGTACACAAATATAATAGAACGGCGGCCTTTTTCCCTTGGCAGCACTCATATAATACTGTAGCTCCGGACCAATAATAATAATTAATAGCATAATCGTTGATCATTTCACATCGCGGTTCAGTTAACAGTTAAAGGGCGTTTTACAAAAATACTTATCGTTATACGGATATTAGGATTAATATGGTTGAAACAAGAAGTAGCAGGCTTAAGCAACAACACAGTCAAGACCGAACAGATACCTTGAGACGTACAGCAATTGAGTTAGCACCGAAACCCACTAAACGCGCACGTCCGATATCTAATGACTTAATCGCGTCAGAAGAGTTAAAATCAAAAGAAATAGGATTATCCGAAATTAATGCAGAACTTACGTCTAAAGCCTCTGAGCAAAGAGCCACCATTCTAACAAAATACTTTCGTGTAGCAGCATATGGAGAGGGTGACATTTTAATGGGCGTTAAAGTACCCGATGTGCGTTCTCTATCAAAAAGCCTGGGTTTTTTGCCATATTCAATTTTAAAAGAGCTTATTCAGTCAAAGTATCATGAGGAAAGGCTGTTAGCAGTTATAAATGTAGTGACAAAATTTAAAAATACACAAGATCCAGTAGAGCTTACGGAAATTTTTAAATTTTTTGTTGAGCAAATGCGAGAAGGAGTTAATAACTGGGACTTGGTTGATTCCTCGGCAAGCCAAATCGTTGGGGAATTTCTGAAAGATAAACCTGATATTAAACGACTATGGTTATATGATAAACTAGCAGTATCAAACCGAATCTGGGACAGAAGGATTGCAATAGTATCGACACAATGTTTTATTAATAATGGTAAATATGATGATGCGTTAAAATTGGCAGAAATGTTTTTAAATGACACAGAAGATTTGATACATAAAGCAACAGGATGGACATTAAGGGAAGTGGGCAAGGTAATATGTGTCCTTTACATTTTAATTACATAATCTATCCATGAACCTACTATTTATTGTATTTATAACCCAGTAGAAATCAAAATCAACCCTTGTCAAATTTTTGAATCAACATGCACATCAAATGCCAAGGGTGATGTTGAGATATAGCTTGGAAAAGTTTTCTGGACAAGAACGCAAGAAGTATATGACCATAGGGAAAAAGTAAAACTCTACAAAACGTTCGTGAAAGGCTCCGTTAAAAGAAATCCGGTTAAACTATACTAAGTCGCTGAACCTGAACGACACTCTCCAAAAATGTAATTAGAAAGACTGAGTTAAACGATAAAAGGTCAAAGAGATATAGAAGATTTATTAAAAGCTCGCAAAAACTTATTCAATGAGATTTACCATAGTGATAATATTGTAAACCTTCAATTAATATAGAATGAAAGGTTGTATTGGCCGATAAGCAAATTCGCATTAAAAATGTAATAGCTTTGATAAAAATTAAAGCGATCAAATAAAAATTTTTTTTATGCAATATCTAATAAATTCGAATTTATATAGCTGATTAAAATTAACCAATCGGAGACAATATTTTCAGCTTCGGCAAAATTTAGCATCAGACGTCAATGTTTTAAAAAAAGGTTTAAAACAATGAAAAAACGTTTAAACCAGTTTAAACCGTTTTTTTTTTACTATCCCTAAGGTTCACTAATTGATAAATGGAGTAATGGGTTTGTGCGATCATTAATTAAATTGACATGGTTATATTGTTTTTATCATAGATTTTTTAATAATTTATGATAACATGAACCAATGTATCTGACCTTAATCGATTACTTTATAGAATATTGATTAGAAACAATCTTTTTCCTGTTGTTTACGTCGCAAGCTTGCTATCTGTGCCCGAACACTTTCCAGTTCTTGTTGTAAACGTCGGAGATCTTCATTCTTAGATTCTAATACTACAAACGAGAATGCTATTAATAAATCTTTAATTCTGACTATATAATTAAATCTAGGATCTTACCCAATTGTGGCTTTGACGAAAAAAAAAAAAAATTTAATAGAATCCAAAGTTAAAACATGTCATATTTTAAAAGATCCAATAACAAAACTTATTTCAACTTTATAACTGAAAAGTAATGCTAACATCCTCAGGCTTTGGCAATATAATATTGTTCCACTCCTCTTCAGAGATCTCATATCTATTTATAATAGAAACAAATCAAATGTTAAAAATTATAATTGTTAGAAAAATACTCAAACTATAGAAATTGAATAATTACAGTTGTTTGTTTTGTTGAATTCTTCGTTTGATCTCATCCCTCGTAGGTTTTCCTAAATTAGAATTTATTTTCAATAGTTTAAATGATAAAAAATGGACATAAATATGTTTATACCTCCGGTATTGACGATGCAATTGTTTTTGCGTTTTATATTTGATCCTTGAATCTTAGAATTTTTTTCTCCTATCACCAAGGGATCGATGTGCAAACCAGCAAACTCTATGGTAGTAATGCTTTTTAATGTGAATTTTTATGAGTAAATATCAAAAAAATATGATAAATTTAGGTTACCTGCTGTACTTTGTTGTCCCAACATTCTCTGAAGTTGCAAATTCATTTGAGCGTTAGTTTTTCCTGGAAGGCTCTGTGAATCGATAATCTTTGCCCAGTTGCCGATTCCAAACTTCATGAGCGCTTTCCTTAATATGTCACTCTCTTCTCGTGACCAACCTATTATTAAAGAGAAAAAAATACAGTAGTTTCAAAAAAAAGCGGGCAAAAATTGCTGTTGCGTGGCTGCCTGAAATCTATACTGACTTATATGGATAACCTGGTAATTTAGTAATAGCCAGGTGGAGATTTCCTCAGCGGAACTATTGTATTAGAACTAAACTTTTCAAAACAGAAAATTACCCGGTGAGAGTGTACAATTCCAAAGACTTGCAGAGTCATTAGAACGAAGTACATTTCGTGGACCACTAGGCATACTCTGTGGCTTCGCAACGTCTTCAAGCGTCGGTGCCATTATTTAGAATATTTTATCTAGAATATTTTATCGTTATAAAACTAGCTATTCTTTTTTTCTAGTATCCACGAGACGCGTACATCTATTTATCCACGATATTTCGGCAAAAAATGCATGTGCATGTGTACCCAGCAAGATGTTAGATGAAGATCAATCAAAATTCATGTAAACAATTTTTTGATGTTTTTAAGATTTTGAACGAAGTTTTCTCGATAACTACCTGATTAAATTCATCATCAAATTTGGTCAGTTTTATGTTGAGAAAACTTCGCTCAAAGTTTAGAAAGAATCTGTTCCGTTTACTAGTAAGTGCTTTTGAATTTTTTAAAACTTTGAGCGAAGTTTCTTGATAACTACCCGACAAAATTCGATGAAAATTTTTTTATATTTTTCTATTTATGTGTAAAATTAAACTAAAAAAAAAAAATTATTGAATTTGGTCAGGTGATTATCAAGAAAACTTCGCTCAAAATTTAAAAAATTCAGAAAACAATTTACTAACAGATGAACCAAATTTTTTCTAAACTTTGAGCAAAGTTTTTTCGATAACTACCTGATCAAATTCGAGGGAAATTTTAAGAATGTGTAGAATTAAAATAAATAAATTTTCATCGAATTTGGTTAGGTAGTTATCGAGAAAGCTTCGCTCAAAGTTTAAAAAATTCAAAATCACTACTAAATAGATGAAACAGATTTTTTCTAAACCTTGAGTAAAGTTTTCTTGACACGCATCTGACCAAGAGTGATGAAATTTTTTTATTCTAAGATATAGAATTGAAATAAAAAAAAATCATTAACTTGATTTAGTTATTGAAAAAACCTTGTTTAAGTTTTAAAAAATTTTAAAAATACATAATTTACTAATAGGCAGATTTTTTTAAACTTTGAAGTTTTTTTGTTTTATTTTAATTTTATTTATTTGTAAAATTAATATAAAAAAATTTATCAAATTTTGTTAAATATTTTATTTAAAGTTTTTTTTTTTAATTTTAAAAAATAAGGCCTTGTATATAGAGGTGAGTCAGTAGAAAAGAGACAAATCATTTTTAGTAAAATTTTTTTAATTTTTAAATTTAAATATTTTAACAACTATTTAATCAAATTTACTAAAAAAATTTTTTAATTTAATCTTGAAATTATATAAAATTAAAATAAAAAATTTTTTTATTAAATTTAATAAAATAATTGCTTAGTTATTTAAACTTAAAGTTAGAAAAACTTTTACTTAGAAAAAATTTGTCTAACTTACCCCCATATCTTTATTAAATAATTTTATATAATTAAACATATAGAAAAACTAGATAAAAACTCAATTCATATATAAATAAATAAGTATAAACTAGTGCTCTCCAATAAGCCGGCTTGATGAGCCTTGCTAAAAATTGCCATTGGCTCATTAAGGCTTATTTAGTTTTTATACTATATAATATATAAAAATATTATTTATTTGTATAGTATATATTATAAACTATACAAATAAGTGATATTTTTTATATATTATATAGTATAAAAACTAAATAAGCCTTAATGAGCCAATGGCAATTTTTAGCAAAGCTCATTGAGCCGGCTTATTGGAGAGTACTAGTATAAACTATATGCAAGAATAAAAACTCGAACTAATTACTATATTTATCTGTAATCTAAACCTGCTAGAATAGTTAAAATTTATCTAGATTTGAATAACTAAAATATAATTAGTAAAAATATTAAACTAGACTCATATTATAAACCAGATATTGAATTTGTAATTAACAAGTCTAGCTACATCAGCAAATTTAATAGGGCGTAATATTGCGCAATAATTTACGAAGCGTAAGAAAACCGTAATAACTTTTGCAATATTGCGAAATATATAATTACGAAATATTACGTAAGATAATTACGCAATATTACGCAAGAAATAACACAATTTTACGCAAAATAATTCGAAATAATTCGAAGCAGATTAAAAAAACTAATGTGAATTATATCTTCGCCCAAAG